CCACCACACGCGTCGGCGGCCGATTGGCTGCTGTACCCAATGACTGTGGCGACGGTGATGTAGAGGAAGAGCAGTGTAGCTATGAACTCGGCGATTATTGCACGGTAGAAGGACCACTTTGTGAGCTCCTCCGCGTCTATCAGCGGTGCCGGCGGCGGGTCGTGGTAGTCCTTCGACCCGTACGAACCCTGCTCCGCCACCTCCTTCGTCATTTTTCCTTTTCTNNAGTGAGAGCAAAAGCTTAGAGAGAGTGAGAGTATATAGATACAGGAATGTGTGTAAATATTCTCGATGGGGGAGTGAAGTGTGAGAGAGAGACTGAGAGAGTGGTGTGAAGTGAGATAGAGTAGATGAAATGAATGGCGCATATTTATAATGGAAATTTACAGGTTAAGCTGATTATTACTGCTAAAACAAGTGGGATTTTAAATAAAAATGTTAATAAATAAATTAAATTTACGGATAAAAAATTCATTTGTGAAAGTTTGGTCAGGTGAAAGTGAAAGCTTAAAGTGACTGACAAACGTATGAAACGACTTGAGATGCTACTTGACAATGCCTCACTTGTTTTTCTATAAACTAATTCGTAAAACGCTAGTGCAAGTATAATAACTACCCAGCTAAGTTGGATTGATCCATTATATTTTTTGGACAAAAATATATGTATTTAAAAAAAATATGATATTTTTGTTAAAATATGATATTTTTGTTAAAATATGATGTCAGTTGTATATAAAAATATGCATATATGTTAAAAAAATATAAGAGGAGGATAAATGGTGTTCTAATGATGTTGAAAAGTTTTTAAATTTGTATGTGTTTAATAGTTGTTTTACTTGTTATCTAAAAGGGTTTGCCATATATTTTTAAATTAAAACATGTATTTATATCCTGAAAATTATAAATTATTTGCCATTATTTCGTAATATATTATAATTTATTATACAATACATGTATTTGTCTCCTAATTATGATAAGTGACGGTGGAGGAGATTATTCGGCAATGTGGACCGACTCTACAGTAACCTTTTAAATATTATTTTTGCTAAAATACCAGTTTATACAATTTTTATATTAAAAAATTCCGGCTAAAATACCAGTTGTACTGAATTTTTTAATTTATTGTGATTTATATTGTATCAAATTTATCACATAAATTGAATTTCTTAAATATGTTTATATTGTTATTAGATATTAATAAATTTTATTATTTATTAAAATTACTTTACATATTATTTATTTATAATAATAATATTTAATTAATATTTGTTAAAATGAATAAAATACACTATAAAAATGTTGTACTTTTTTATCCGGTACGGTAATTGAATTAGGAGTAGAAATTGGGCCGTTCAAGGTTACAAGTTTGGGTTTCGCTTTCACCGACCCACGAGAGGATGGGCCCGATACCCTTTTCCAACGTCTGTTTTCTGTTTAACGGCTATTTAGTCCAGCACATTACAGTTACCGAATTGTCTTTCTATAGGAAATTTGTTTTTTGTTCTATTTGAACTTCAAAACATTGAAAACTTCTCCACACTATTGATGCCGTCATGCATTACTTAAATTAGTCATAATATACATGTAGAGGTTTTTAATTATTGACAAATAAATTTTGGTTATCAATAAATTTGTGAAACAATTAAAAATTTGTCACATCATTAATAATTGTTATAATATGTCCCAAATAATGCATCTAAGAGTATATATAGCCTGGCCAAGTTACCGTTGTTTTAGAGAATGGTAACGAATCAATAGCAACTTCAGTGCATATCTAATAAGCAGGTTTTGAAAGATTTATAAAATCAAACCTCGGAGAAAGGAGAATAACTATTGTGCATAGTGTTGTTAAATTAAACGAGTCTGGTTCGACTCGAGTTCAGCTTGAGCTCGAGACTTTAACGAGCCGAATGCGTAATGCTGCTAAATTAAAAACAAAAAAAAAAAATCTTTTAATTTATTTTGTTGCCTAATATGATTTTTTTAAAAAAAAAAACACTTAAATTTATTGGACGATGTCAAACCAATATTTAACAAAATGTTATATCAATGTTTATATAAACTTGGTGTTACTATGAAATGCGCATAAATATTAAGTGCCCCACCTAAATTAATGTAGCTTTTTTTTAACCTTGAGTTACCCTACTAACCGACACTATAACTCGTTGCTGAATTTTAGGAGTTGAATGCATTTACTAATGACTATACTTATAATTTTTCATTTTCCATAGTTATATGTTCTGCTTGCCCATTTTCGATTTTTAGCCATTGAATGTAATATTCGGTTAATATTATGGTTTATGAACGAGTGGGAGTTCAATTATACATCTATTAGTAATATTAATATTTAATACACTCGACATAGATTAGACTTGAAATCTTCGACAATTCGAACAATTCAAATGACAGATGTATTTTTCGGAAAAAAACAATCATTTAAAATTAATTAATTATTTACTTTATCGACATTGTTTTCAAATCCTATATTTAGACCAATGAGGTGTCACATACGGGCCAACTGGCACCATTTTTATAATAATTGCACAAACAAATGTTAAAATATACTCCACACGTGGCATTTTTATCCAAAAAATATTTGTGAGCTAGGGCGGTGCTGTGGGTCGTGGTCCATAACTTTTTTTCATAAGATTTCCAATGCATTGGGTCCCACAGAGAATTTATTATTTCCTCCTTTTGCTTTGTTTCTCTCTTTTTCATTTCCGAACGTTGGAGAATTTTCTAGTGAGTCATGCGTAGTCCAAAAGATTTTATTATAATTTATATTTTGTATAATTTGTCAATTTTCATGGCATTGCATAAATTATAAACATCATAAGTCATTTGTATTGTGATAACTAATATTTTATTGAATTCAAATTAGATGCCTCTCCAAGAACCTAACGCGTGCTTGCATATAAATATATTCATTTCAAATGATTCTTTTATTTAATTAGAATTAATTTTTTAAAAAATAATATAGTTAGATGTTAGTGTGATTTTAAGTTTATATTAAAATATAATTTAAAATAAAATAATTAAAATTGATTTGATATAAAAGTATGAGAGATGATGTGAAGTGATAGTTAAAAACTTAAAATTACATAAGTGGATTAATAGTGAATTAATATTGATGTAATTTGTACGAACGGTGTTTTGGTATAACTTAATTATATTGATAATATTGACGATAGTGTGATTGAGTTAAAAATTGAGTTAGATTTAGAATATGATTTGAGTATTTAACAAACATACGCTAAGGTGGTCGCAAGTGGAAGACAAACTATTATGATCATTGATATGAAGAGTGAACAATGTTCAATGTAGCCGAGAGAGAAAAATGGGTTAAGAGAGGCGATCGAATATCACAAAATGAGAAAGGTCAAAAGTGATTACACAGACCCTAATTCTCCTTTTTTTTATATATTAGGGAGACTATAACTAGAGTTGCTACTTTAAAACACACTTAATGTGAAAATACAAAACTCAATGTTTTTACTTAAATATGCAAACTATTACCCTAGCAAGAGGGACATTAATATTGGTCATGTTCCTCTTGAACATGAGGTGTTCAAAGGGATGAGGGCCGAGTGGTTTTGTTAATTTATCTACAAGCTGGTCCTTTAAAGAAACATGAGTGAGTTAAGTTGCATGGTTCATTGAGTTATCTTCTCTCTTATGAGGTGGCATTCTATCTCAATATGTTTGGTTCTCTCGTGGAATATTGAATTGTGAGCTATTGCAATGACAGGCTTGCTATCTGAATAAATGTAAACAGAAAAGTGATGAGAAATTTTCAAATAATAAAGCAAGTATAGGAGTCATTGAGCTTCAAAGGATGCTGAAGCCAAAGCTCTATACTCATTTTCTGCAAATGTCCTGGTGATTGTACTTTATTTCTTTGATTTCCATGAAACTATAGAATCTATAAAAATAAAAAAAACAAAACGATAAACCAGTGATGTCTTTTCTAGTATCTATACAACCAGCACAGTCACTATCACAAAAGAATGTAAAGATAATTTTGAAGATCTAAGAAGGGGAATACCTTGTCCAATAGCTTGTTTAGTGTAACCTGAGTATCCTTTGAGCAACAACCATATGTTGTTTAGTGGGATTGAACATATGCTGACTTAAAGCCTTCACACTATAACATATATTTGGTCTAGTAATTGTGAGATATAATAGTCTTCCTACTAGTCTCTTATAGGCAGTTTGATCAGTTATTTTATATTTAGAGTTTGCATGTGAATCTAGTTTTACGTTTGCATCCGATGGTGTGGGAGCAATTTTACTACCTAAGAGACCTAAATCATATAGAATATCTAAAGTATACTTCCTTTGACATAGATTATTTCTTTATCAGAATGTGCTACTTCAATTCCTAAGATATACTTAAGTTGCCCTAGTCTTTTATTGTGAAGCAATCATATAAGAAAGAACTTGAATAATATTGTGGTTTGCTATTGGTTTGATAAACAAGCACCCATGGGAATCTGGTAGTTGGGCAATGGATAAGTGATTTGCTATTGGATATTTAATATTGTGGTTTAATAAATTATGAAATATCTTAACTTTAAAAAATAAAATTTATAATCTTTGAAATAATATATATTAATTAATTATTAAATTATTATATATCACTAAAAAAAATTAATAGTACATAATATTATTATGTAATACTCATTCATCAATTAAATATATATAATTTATCACGATTTCTCCATACATCATAGTAGGTCACGTACTAGTTGATTATAGTTTCTACTAAATAGAAAATTAGATGGGAATAGAATTATAGAACTAAGAAATTGTTACAATAAGTTCATAATATGAATTGATAAACAGGCCGAGTGAAATATATTCATGTGGCCAAAGGTGTTAAGCAAGATTGGTCACCCACAGTAATCATAATTCATAACCTGATAGTTTTGTCAATCTTATATATATTCCCTGCAAATTTCATACTTCACCATAGTGACCACATATAAATGTGTCCTGAAAAAAAATCAAAAAATAGAAAACTGAAACTGATAAGTCTCTCATGAATCAAGGACTTGAAGTCTCAAACTAATCATCACCATAAAGCCAAATCTATGGTTATCAATGAAACAAATTTGAAACTTTCGCAAAAACAAAATACACAGGTCAGTATTTTGCATAAGAGGAAAAAAANGGGTTATCAATGAAGGAATCTGAATATTATTCTAATAGCAATGAACCAAATCTCTCTCTTTTCTCACCCTAAACACTTCCCCTCAGTTTCATCTGCCAGTCACCATAAACTGTTCCTCTGTTTTATTATTTTTTTTTTCCTTCTCTTTTTCATCTTCCTGGCATAATCACTAACCTCAAGAAAAAAGTACGGGTGAGATTTCAAAAAAGCAAACTCTATACACACACCTAAAAGAAAAATTATAACAATGATGATAAAGAAAAGAAAAATAACTGGTTTTTATGAGAAGGCTATTATACTAAGTATTGGTGTCTCCAGAGTTAAATCCACACGCTTTAATAGAGAAAATAGGCCCCTGGAAAGAACTCCGGTTATCCAAATGTGAGTCAAGGAAAAGAACAATAACTGTGATGTCATCATGAAAATGTCTTCTCACCCCTCGATCGATCTTTCTCAGGTCAGAATATCTCATTTCTCTCTTTTTTGCTGCTTCATGTATGGCTGCTTTCACTAGTTTCCTTGCAATGCCCTGAATAAAGAGAGAGAGAAAATAATCTTGTTCAATAAATGACATCAGAAGAAGTAGAAAATCCTAATATTACATAAAGTTACAAAACTTCATCCCAGGGTTTTTAGCCTAATTAATCAAAAGAAGAAAAAAAAAAGAAATAGAAAAACTAAAAGAAAAAGGAAGAATAATCATCTGTTATACTCAAATCTGGAAGTCCTACATTTTTCAGCATTTTTAATGAGGTGAAAAGAATAAATTTTCAAACTAGAGAGGAGGGAAATTAACCATGGTTAACCTAAAAAATTCGTAATGAGCAGATATATTTGTATCCAAGCACGCCCTAAGTAAAATTGAAAATCATACGTTGCGTGGAGAACTGTGAACAAGCTCGACTGCCTCTTGATTGCTCAGGTGTTCCCACAGCCCATCCGAAGCAAATATAAGAAATTGATCCTCTGGATAAAGCTTTTGAACGTGTATCGATGGCTCAGCCAATAGAATCGGTTTCTCAAAAGGTTCGGGAAGTCTGAATTTCGGTAACAAAGGCACTCTATTGAACTCGGCTTTCTTTAAGTAAGCATCACCTATAGATCTTGACACCTTACATGGAATATATGATCAGCAACATTAGTTAAAAGAAAATCAAGGCACAGCGCAGTTAGCAGTGACTCGTTAAGCATGCAGTTCTTGTAACTAAAGGGATTATTAAAAAATAAAAAATAAAAAAAAAACTACCCTTGCTGTTTAGCCTAATTACGAAAATTACAAATAACCTCTATGGCTTTGAGTCCATTTTATAAAAAGGATAACGACAAAAACTCCCCCCGAGGTTTGGGTAAATACCAAAGTTAAAAGAAGGAAAATAACTTGGTAGGTTTTAAAATTACAGATAAAACATTGAGCCTTGAACATTGAGGAGGCTGCTGTAAAATAATTTCATATGAATATAAGATTTTATTGAAACTTTTATTTTTTTGGGGGGTTATAATGGTAAATCTGTAAGACCAACCAAAGTCAAGGAGGTTTAGTGGGTTTAAAATTCTCCATGAGTTATTTGTAAGTGTGCCCAAACAACGGGTGATTTTTGTAATTATCCATTACTCAAAGTTTCACTATAAAGAGAGGGTACGGTATTATTTAAGTAGGAAATAGAGACAAACTGAAGCAGAAGTTTCTAAAACCTTAAGGAGATACTGGCAATTTCGATGGTTAATTAAACTAAAACCTCAGCAAGCAGCTTTTGTAACTATCAAAATAGATATAGTTCAAACTTTCTATATATTAAGCAAATTTTGATGGTTAATTAAACTAAAGCCTCAGCAATTTTGATGGTTAATTAAACTAAGGATATAGTTCAAACTTTGTATATTTTAAGCAAATTGGAGAGTTACAATTACAATACATGAAGATTCCCACTAGAAAAAAAATGAGAAATGAGGCTAAGAAAAACGACAAACTCACCTGAATAATACCCTTCACACGCCAAACATTATGCTTCAAAACAACAATGTGAGGATCTTCAGGATGCAACAACTGCAACTCATCCCGAACAGACTTAAAACTCGCATTGTGCTCGTCCGATAACTGAACAGCCTTAACCTCTTTTTCACCTTTATCTACTCTTCCCAAAACGGCCCTCGAATCACCGGCATTCGCAACGTACAACACGCCATTGCATATTACGCCCACCAAACAGCACGACCCCACTGAAGCAATTTGCGGTCTATTTGCCCATTGCTTTTTGACCAAAGAAAGGAATTCCTCCTCAGTTGCCAGATAAGCGTTTTTTATGACTTCGGCTGCCATTTCATGGTTTTCTGACGTAAATTCTGCATCATGAATAGCTGTCAAGTCAGTAAACATACACATTATTAGCATATAAAAAAGTTGAAAACATAAATTGATAAATTCCAAGAAAATGACTGACATACAGTATGCCTCGAAATATCTATCATCTGAATTAAGCATATCAAAACCAACTTAAGCAAATTGCTATATCGTGTTCATGCACAAGCACAGCAGGCATGAAAGGAAACTAAAAGATGGACCGAAATAGTGTACAGAAAAACTTATAATCATAGACAGCTATTAGTTTCTGCACTCTTACACTGATGGAATCTCACCCTTGAAATCCTATATTTTCAATAATTTAACTTTATCGCATCAAGGCAAAGGCATCCTAAACCCCAATCTTGGATAAGGAAATATTTTTCTAGAAATATTCATAGAATATTTTACGCGTGCTTGATAATCACCACAAATGAAGCCAACATCAATCAAACAGCCCATTGAAGTTCAGAATGCACAATATCCATCATCTAAAAGTAATGCAATGCACTGATAAATGATACAGAAGCACAGATTATTCAGAAAGAAACCAAAGGCTTACTCTTAATATTTTCAAAAAGGCAGCCGTTTATAAACCGAGAAGCTTCCGGACCAGCATGCCCATCATAAATCCCGACAAACGTCCCTTGAGGCCCATATTCGATCGAGCTCATTGGCCCGGATTCCAGTTGGCTATGATCTTCCATCACATTATTAGCTTGAATCACAGCCATTGAAAATTCCCCATGAATGTGATTCCCTAAATCTTTGTACCACCACAAACCATCCACATGACCGTTAAGATCATCTCCACTGTTGCTGCCATTTTGACCTTGATTATCCACTGAGGGCTTCCAGCAAGGGGTCACCAATTTTCTCCATGTAGTGGTCACCATTGCCTTCTTCAGAACCCCAAAACAAGAGGGAATTATTTTTATTTTTTTTTAATCAATCTGTTTCCTTTTGTCTTCAAATAACGGAACCCTCAATCACAATTTTGCACAAAAGCTTGACAGGTTTCAAAATTTCCAACAACACCCAACAGAAGAGTTTTGATCTTCTTCGTACCCTAATTTCGAAACCCACATCACAAGATTTCCCAAGTATTTATACAATCTCCGAACAATGCGGGCACCACCAATCTGTATTGGGAGCAAAAAAATAAATAATACAAAAAAAAATCAAGAAAACAACTCAATCAATGTATTATGCACAAAAAACAACAAAATTCAACGAAAAAAATTCCAAACACAAGCAACATATTTGCATATAGACCGTAAACCGTTTCCAAATCCAAATTGAAAAAAGAAAATTAAAATAGAAACAAAGAAAAGAGGTGACCTAAAATCATATCTCAACAATGGGGGCGAAGGATGAACATACCCATCTCAAGATCGTCGAATCACAGAATCAAATGATTTCAGGCGGGCGAAAATTGGGTCTTTTCACCGTGTTGTTTGCGACCCAAGAAAATCAGAGATTTAGAGAGAGGGCTACAATATATGAGAACAAAATTCCAATTGGCTTTCCTTTTGTTGCTGGTTTTCAGGGTTGGGTTCTTTTTGGGAAATTCATTGATGGCAATTTTGTAATTGATAATTTATAGAAAGTAAAAGAAATTCATTCCGACTTTGACCCAAAACAAACCATCATTTTAGCCAACTTTTTCTCATCTCTTTTCTTTTTTTTTTTTCTATTTATTATTACTAAGAACATTAATTAATTTATTATACTAAAATTACAAATAAATAATCTTTTCTTTCTCAGCAATTTCCTACCAAATTTACCTGTTTAATCAAATTAATATGTAAATTATAATAAAATTAAAATTACTCAATTGCTTATCATTCCTAAACACGGTATAAGCCAACTATCCTGTAAATTATGATAATAATTCCGCAGAAATTCCATGGGGCTTTAGACTTCAACAAGTAATTGAATTTACAAGTGAGATAAATAAAGGAAATAGTAATTGGTCAAAAGGATTATATGGAAATTTCTCAATAAGAAAATAATGAAGGGCTCCAACAAAATTACAAGAAAGAGGGGGGAAAATAATGTTTTATTGGCACGTTGTTATGTGTTCCGCGGTTAAAAATAATTTTTTTTTTTTTTTCGAAACGGTAATAATTATCTCATTAATAGATAGAGTTCAATCATACACGGGATCCATGAGGATCACAATCCGAAAATAAAGCAACAAAGCTACCATGGAATGCGGAAGCCTGTTACTGGATTGAGAGCCATGGGCTTCCTAAACAAACAAAGCAACAAAGCTACCAAATAACAGCCGCGAGGAATGCGGAAGCCTGTTACTGGATTGAGAAACTACTAAAGTACAGAATAAGAAAATCACACTAGCCACTGCAAGAGCCTAGCTAGGAAAAATCACTAACTGAAAATAAAAAAGAAAAGAGAGACGAAGCTAAGTTAGGGGAGTGTCAAATTCCTTCCATTCTTTAACTGCATTTGCCACAATGATGTGCTCTGGAGTCCAGATCTTTTGAAAAACCCAAAGGTTTCGTGTCTTCCAAAGTTGCCAGAGGATGTATGTTGACAGTTGGATTCGATCTGTAATGGCTTTGTGTCCTTTGAGAAGACATATGTCGATCCACCAGTGTTTGAAGCTGTCAGTGAATTGTGTAGATCTATTCCATTGGACAGGGGACAATTTCCAGACTTGGGCAGCTCTAGTGCATAGGAAGAGAGCGTGTTCAATGGTTTCAGGTTGTTCACCACATAACATGCATGTAGAATCAAGGCGCAGTCCTCTCTTAATCAAGTTAACCGCAACCGGCAGTATCCCATTGTAACATTTCCATATGAAATGTTTAATTTTTCCTTTGATGTTTAACTTCCAGCTCCGGAGTCTCATTTTTCTGAGCACTGTAGATTGAGTGCTACTCTCTGGAATGTCAAGCTTGAGTATCTTATCAGAGATTAGTTGAGCATAGGTGCCAGCCACAGTAAAGTTCTTTTTTGCATCAAAGACCCAGGTAGGTGTATCAGATAGGTGGTTGCTGAGAGTTTTAATTTTGAGTACAGCTTCAGCTTCTGAGGGAATGAAACATCTGTTAACTAAAGCTCTGTTCCATGAGACTCCATCTCGATTGATAAGTTCAGAAACCCACAACAGGTTAGGTGAGGTTGGTGATTTGGTCAACAGTTTAGAGTTGGGTAAATCAGGAACCCATGGATGCCCCCAAATTCTGGTTTTCCTGCCATTTCTGACCTGCATCATAAAGCCAAAAATATTTATTTCTGAGAACTCTACTCATTAAAAGGTTGGGCTTAATGATGAGCCTCCAAAGCTGCTTTAAAATAAGTGCTTCATTGAGGACTTGTATGTCATGGAAGCCTAAACCCCCAGCTGCCTTGGGAAGGGTTAACAAATGCCAGGCCTTCCAATGTATACCAGAATTTTGAGATTTCCACCAGAAGTTAGAGAAAAGTTGAGATAATTCCTTGCATATACTTACAGGTAACATGAAGCAGGACATGGTGAATATAGGGAGGGCACTGAGCACTGATTTGATAAGAACTTCCTTTCCAGCTGCTGATAAGAATTTATTTTTCCAGCTTAACAATCTGTTTTTGACAGCATCAACAACATAGTGGAATGTGTCACCTTTGGATCTGCCTATACCCAGTGGTAGTCCCAGGTATCTTGATGAATGCTGTGGAGTAATTCCCTGCAGTGCGTGGCAAATGGCTGCTTTGGTGCTTTCAGGTGTGTTTTTGCTGAAGAAGATGGAGGACTTTGACATATTGACCTGTTGACCTGTGAAGCATTTGTATTTCTCTAGCATGGCCATGATAAGATTAGCAGACTCAACTGAGGTTTGACAAAATATAAGTGAGTCATCAGCAAAGAATAAATGGCTAAGAGTAGGACCTTGTCTTGAGATTTTCAGCCCTTTATAAGAACCAGTGGAGAGTTCATGCTGAATCAGACAAGATAGGCATTCAGAGACCAAGATGAATAGGTAAGGGGAGATAGGATCTCCTTGCCTTATGCCCCTAGAAGGAATGATATAACCAGTAGGACATCCATTAAGTTTAAATGAATATGATGCAGATTGCACACATGCCATTACCCAATGAATAAATTTGAAGTTGAAGCCCATTTTTCCCATGATTTTTCTGATACTGTCCCATTCAATTCTGTCGAAAGCTTTAGACATATCAAGTTTCAATGCCATGTATTTTTTGGGGCCAGTTCTATGCCTGTTGAGAAAGTGAAACACTTCATGGGCTATAATTACATTATCCAACAGCTGTCTGTCAGGTATAAATGCTGCCTGGGTGTTACTGATACAAAATGGTAAACATGGTTTTAACCTGTCAGCAAGAATCTTAGAGATCACTTTGTAAATGACCTCACATAAGCTTATTGGTCGATAATCCCCCACAGAGATTGGAGAGAGACATTTGGGGATTAGAGTTATTAATGTGAGATTCCAGTTTCTAAGTAAATGACAAGAGTTGAAAAAAGAGTAAACAGCTGTGCATAGATCAGATTTAATAATGTCCCAAAAGGATTGGAAAAAGGAGGGTGTCATACCATCCCAGCCGGGAGCTTTGTCAGAGTGCATAGAGAACACAGCATTTTTGATTTCTTCTTCAGTTACTGGACCAGTGAGAGATGCATTCTGATCTTCTGTGATGGATGTAGGGATATGGCTGAGAAGATGACCAACATCGGCAGATCCTTCTGATGTGAAAAGATTTTGGTAGAAGTCTGTGAGACAGTTTGCTATGTCTTCTCGAGTGTCACAGTATGTTTGGTCTGGTTTGAGCAGCCTTGTAATGGAGTTGCATTTTCTTCTTTGAAGGGTGGATGCATGGAAGAACCGGGTGTTTTTATCACCTTCTTTAAGCCAGAGAGCCCTTGATTTTTGTCTCCAGAAGATTTCTTCAGATTTGTAAGCCATATCAAGCTGTTTTTTGAGCTGGTGCCATTTTTCCCAATTCCTTGTGCCTCCTTGTTCTCGAAGGCCAGTTAACTCAGCATTTAGTTTCTCTATGGTTTTGGCAGAGTTAGTTTTGAGGTTTCGACTCCATTTCAAGAGAGCTACTCTGGTGGCCTTTATCTTTTCAGTGAGAGAATACATGGCAGATCCGTGGGTTGGCTGGTTCCAAGCTTTTTGTATTTCCTCTTTTATACCCGGTTGCTTGAGCCACCTCTTGTCAAAGGCAAACATCTTTTTCCTGTAGTCTTGTTCAGTTCCAGTGTGAAGCAGCAGGAGGTTGTGGTCAGAGGCACTTCTAAATATGTTGAGGACTTTGGCATCAGGATATGTGGCATGCCAGTGTAATGAGGCTACCATTCTGTCCAGCTTCTCTTCAATATAGCCCTCTGCATCCCTGTTGTTCCCCCAAGTGAAAGGGTATCCTTCCATGAAAAGTTCCTGTCCGCCGAGGTCAGCTAGACAAGATCTGAAACCCCAAAAGCTAGCTTCAGTTCTTGGTCTTCCACCATTCTTTTCACCGGGACAGAGGATATCATTCCAGTCCCCTGCGATTATCCAGTTGGGGCCCCATTTTGCTTTTGCTTGTGATAGGTACTGCCATTGATTAACTCTGGTATTCCTGCAGGGGCTCAAATACACAAATACAAACCAGGATTTAACAGGATTATTAAGAAGGCTGAATTCAATTTCAATACAAAATGGTTGACAAAAGATTTGATGGATAGTAACTTCCTTGTCCCAAAAAACTAATAGACCTCCCCCTCTATTAATAGGGTCAGCAGCAAACCATCTATCATCAACATTTAAGTTCTTACAAACAGTAGATATAAACTTTTTAGTTTTTCTAGTTTCACAGATGAAAGCAAAATTTGGGTGGTGGAGTCTCCATGATTCCTTGAGTTGGGGAACTGTAGAGGGCCCACCCAGACCTCTACAGTTCCACACCATGGCCGTCATTGGTCACATTGGGGCCACTTGAGGCTGGCTTCCTCCACCTGTACATCTGTCAGCTTTGGCTTCTTGTTGGGGCTAGCAGTATCAGCAATTGCCTCCACGAGTGATGTGTTGTTACTTTCAGGCTGTCTTGTTCGTTTTATATGTTCTTGCTGATTAGGTTGGGCAGGGGTGATCTTAGAAGAAGTAGAGCCAGTGGATTTGGTAGGCCTTCGGGTCCATTTTTTGGGAAGCCCCTTAGAGGTGGTGTTGTTATTCAGTGGGCTTTGATCAGTTGGTGGGAGTTGTTGGGAAATTTCTGCTGTGAAATCCATAATTTGTCCATGTTCATGGGGTGCGCTGTTGTTGTTGAAGTCAAGGAGGAGGATATTGTTGGTGGGGATGTGGGGCTTAGATTGGATGTCCATTGATTGTCGCTCTGCAGTTACAGGGGTTATAGTTTTGAGTGATGAGTCAGCTGCTCTATTGATGGGCTGGTGCGCAGGGGTTAAGACCATATTGGAGTGTTCTGCTGGCTTTGGGGATGAATGAGAGGAGGTGCAGTTGTATTTTTCTTGCGGATTAGCAGTGTCCGATTTTGGTAGAGGAGAGATATTTTCCTTTGTCATATGTGTTTGCTCAGAGGGTTTACTGGGTCGAGGTGAGGAGGGACCTTCAGAGGCTTTGAGCCATTCCCCGTACTGTCCTTCAGTAGGAATGCCATTAGCTATGTCATCAACTTTAAAGCCACAACTCCTATCCAGATGCCCAATTCGTCCACAGTAGTAACATAAATTAAGCAGCTTTTCATATTTGAAAGCAATTTGACGGACTTGGTCCCCTAATTTAAGGCAGGTACATCGAAGAAGAGGTTCATTTAAGTCAATGGTGACCAAGAGTCGTAGAAATCGACCACAATTGCCCGAACCTGAGCTGATGGTGACATTTTTCACGTTTTTGAAAGATTTGCCGATTTTTAAACCAACCTCCATACAGAGCCAGTTGAGTGGGATATTGTTTACCTGGACCCAGATATCCAGTTCTTGGAAGCATTCATGGTTTGCTGTTAAGTCTTCTTGCCATTCTTTCAGGATGAGATACTGGTTCTCGAAGGACCAGTTGTTTCCGGCAGCGACTTTGTTCTTCTCTGCTTCTGATTCAAAGAGGAATTGAAAGAAGTTCGGTTCTAGCTCTCGTACTATGAGAGGATGCTTGAGTTGCCAGATCAGCGACATAGTGCGTTTAAGACCAAATAGATGAGCTTTTCTGTCACCGATAACTTTGCCGAATAGACTTTTGTTGCACTCGTTGGAGCTGCGCCGAATATCCGAAGAGTCTAAATCAGTGATATTAATCTCCTTTTGGGAGAGTGAGAAGTTTTGAAATCGATTGGTTAGGTCTTCTTGCATAATTAGGGATTGAGAAGCAAAGGGGTAGGGAGAGTTAGGGACGGTGGTGATAGGAATTGATAAGTTCAGAAAGGAAGCGAGGGACCAGAAAATTGCAGAGATGGAGGCGGAGGATGAAAGAGATGACCGGAAAACCGGTAATGAACGGCAGACTCCCAAAGGAAGAAACCCCTAACCGGAAACCGGTAATTCGGTATTCTTATTCAAGTCGAACTATTTCAATGGCGGTTAAAAATAATTAGTATTCGATTCTGTGCATTTGCACAGTGTAAATAGAATATTATAAGTTATATTTATGCTAGTATTAAAATTATAAGTTACACAATAATATTATATTTTAAACATAGAGTATTATAAGTATATTTATGCATATAATAATAAAAATATAAATAAGATAATGATATTATGTTTTAAAATTTTTTCATCGGTTAAAATAAATAGTACGTAACTATTTGAATGCATATGAACCACTATATTAATTACATAAAATATAATAAATAATATAATTTTGAGAAATCGCCAATTTATTATCTTAAAAATATTAAATTTATTATGACATTTGATTATGCGATTTTAAGGAATTTTAATATAACATTAAAATAAATTAACTTATTTAAAAATACAATCGCTAAATAAGATAAAAAAAATAATAATATTAATTTTAAAATAAATAACTTTAGCAAAAAGTTTACAATATTTTTTTATGTTTATGTAATTTTCATATATCATTTAGTGTAAACTATAGTTATTAGTTTTAATAACAACTATTACGTGATATAATAAAATAATATAATTATTACTCCATTAATATAAAATGTAACGATTTTATTTTAATTAACTATAAAAAAGTGCAATGAAATATTTAGCATTAATTAGATATGATGGATTAATAATAATAATAGAAGATTATAACATAAAAAGATGGTAAACAATAATTAATATTGTTAAATTTATTGTTGGTAATTAAATATAGAGAGAGATATAAATGATAAAGTTTGTAACGGTTTTTGGAGGGAAATCGAAATGATGTTTATTAAATGTTTTATTAAATGTTATTAGCCAGCAATTATATATATATATATAGATATGAGTTAATTATAATTTAAAAAAATAAATTATTTTTTTAAAAAAAAACTTGTGTAAAGATAATAAAAGGTACAAAAAAAATTATTTATTACATTTTAAAATGTTTTTTTAAATATAAAATTAGTAGTGACTTGTGTTCATTATCACTATCATTATCACAATAATCACTAGACAACGAGATTTATAACTATATAATTAACGACAATATATAACTGCGTGTGAATAAAATGTACTTTTTTTTGTTAAAAAGTATATATGTTTTAAATTAAATTCTCATTAAAATTTAAACATAATTGTGATATTCAATGGAAAAAAGTATATGTGACAACAATGACACTCATCCTTGAAACTTTTTCCCCCCCAAAAAAAAATCTCGATAATAATACATTTTCCATCATTTAAAAAAATAAACTCATTATTATTGTTATATAAAGAAAATAATATATGAATAATTGTAGTTATCATATACAAATATAAGCCAGCTAAAATTAAGAAATATAAATTAAATACTTGAGAAAAAAAAAATAAAAGTAACTCAATTTTGATATATTTATATTTAGTTTAAATTAGGTCCACATATTTCTTCTTTTTTTTTTGGAATCATATAAATATAAGAACAAAATTTTAATAATAATTAACACATTATGCGATTTTTACTCATATAATAATTATAGTTGCATAGTTGTTGATCAATAAATAAATTAAAATGAGGGCAGTCACTCTAGTCACGAGATGGCCTCAAATTTAATCATAATACAAGTAATACCAACTAAAAATAAAATAAATTAAATAAACAATATATTTTTGGCTCAAATTTTTCAATTAATAAGGTGTGTTTGCATTTGTTTTTTATAGTTATTAATTATTCAATTATTAATTATTCTCAATTATTGAAGTTTGTATTTTGCACTTGTGAGAGATTTTAGTATTTATAATGTTTGTGTTTGTGCTTTTGGCTGTCTAGACTACATTTTAGTATACCTCATTCTAAATTGAGCTTAGTAGCTGATTGATTTGATTGTTTTTTGCTGCTTTTAGTCTGTAAATATTTGTGTTTATTAATAAAAAGTATACCGTTTTGAAAAATAATGACCAAAACCAATATAAAAATATTATATATAATAAAAATTTCACTGATTAATTGAGCCTTCAAAATCAAAAGGAAGAGTTAGTTGAGAGCAACGAGATCAGGGTTTAAGTCTCCTCCTCGTCCATTTCACTAGCGCCGCCCAATTAATAGGAGTCAATGATTGTCACAGCGGAGGCAGCTGCCGACGGATGAGGAGGAGGAGGATGAGAGCGCGGACTAGATGTTGACGACGAAGAGGAGGGCCCATCGGATAACGCATGACAATTTTGGTATAGGTAATTGGGGATTGGGTTTTGTTTCTAAAAAATATATTTTTTAGGGACTTATCTGTAATTTTAAGAGTTTTAACAATGTTGCAATTTTATTCATGTTGAATATGTAAAATAATAAAAGTTGATAGTTGCACAATAATGTTAAGTGAGATTCACAATATCACGTTTGGATTTGCACAAAAAGATATTGGCACTGCAGTATACACAATAATGTAGACAAATTGCACATTAGTGCATGTCAGATTGCACATTAGCATAAATAGTGCATTCGGTTATTTCGTTTCATTTCCAACTTTGTTAGAAAAAA